AGGTTATACAGCTGAGGACAGCCGTGTGCATATATGTGATGTGTGCACATACACATACCACATTTGCATGTACCACATCTTTAAAAAAGTCTTAAATCTTAAAGGTTTGTATAAGTTTTCCAAGATCTCATTTCTGGAGATGATCTCTTTCCTGCAATTCTTGATGCTAATGTCATTGGACTTGAAAGATCAGGAATTTTTTTCTCCAGTCCTAATGTATTTCCTTCCTTATAGTTTTGTTGTTTCATTTTAAACAAGAAGTTTGAATACTTAATTATTTTATTTTATTTTTTTTTTTTTTGAGACAGAGTTTCGCTCTTGTTACCCAGGCTGGAGTGCAATGGCGCGATCTCGGCTCACCGCAACCTCCGCCTCCTGGGTTCAGGCAATTCTCCTGCCTCAGCCTCCTGAGTAGCTGGGATTACAGGCACGTGCCACCATGCCCAGCTAATTTTTTGTAATTTTAGTAGAGACGGGGTTTCACTAAGTTGATCAGGATGGTCTCGATCTCTTGACCTCGTGATCCACCCGCCTCGGCCTCCCAAAGTGCTGGGATTACAGGCTTGAGCCACCGTGCCCGGCTTGAATACTTTATTATTAGAGAAGTTTAAGACAATTCACAAGCATATAATATCCACAGAAGGTTAGCTTTGTGAGAGTGGAGACTTCATCTTATGTATGCGAAGTTGGCATTCTATAAATACATGCCATATATATATATATAATACCATAAATGTTCTTTTGTACCCATCACTATTCCACTTTTTAAATTTGTTAATTTTAGAGGATCACGTTAACATATGTTTTTATGTTGAACTATTTCTCATTTCTAAGATTAACCTTGTTTGGTCTTGACGTGTTAGTCTTTTAATGCCATATTGAATTTTAGTACCTACTGTTGTTATTTTTAGAATCTGTGACTGTGATCATAGATTGTTTTAGTTCCCTCCATCCCTTTCTTGTCCTTGCCTAGTTTGACACTGTGTTTTAAAGGAGTAGGAAGCATTCTTATCTTTTTCTGTACTCTTCTATATCTTATTTGAAGATTCAGAGCATTTTCTATTAAAACTGTCTAAATTCAGTACCTTTTTAGTTATAGCCCTTCCTCTTACAAATTTTGTAACTTATGTTTTATTTAGAAAAACATTTTTTTTCTAGATATCAAATATACTGGTTTAAAGATGTACAGTGCTGTATGTTTATCCTGTATTTTAAAATCTTCACAATTATAGTTGTCACTTTTCCCTTTTTTTTTTTTTTTTTTTTTTTTTTTTTTGAGACAGAGTCTTGCTCTGTCTCCCAGACTGGAGTGCAGTGGCCTGATCTTGGCTTACTGCAGCCTCTGCCTCTCAGGTTCAAGCGATTCTCCTGCCTCAGTCTCCTGAGTAGCTGGGGTTACAGGCATTCACCATTGAACTTGTCTAATTTTTTTTTGAAATTTTAGTAGAGATGGGGTTTTGCCACGTTTCCCAGGTGATCTTGAACTTCTTATCTCAAGTGATCCACCTGCCTCAGCCTCCCGAAGTGCTGGGATTACAGACCTAAGGCACCGTGCCCAGCCTCATTTTTCTCATTTTTGATGTTGTTTACATCTTTGCAAACTCCTCACTTAAAAAGTAAAAAATTAGACTTGCCAAAGATTGGTTTGTTTTATTAGGTTTTTCAAAGAAGTTGGTTTTTGTTTAATTGATCAACCTTGTTGTTTTTCTATTTAATTAATTTCTGCTATTAACTGAATTTATCCTTTCCTTTCCCTCCCTCCCTCCCTCCCTCCTTCTCTCTCTCTCTCTCTCTCTCTCTCTCTCTCTCTCTCTCTCTCTCTCATTAATTCTCTTTGGTTTTCTCTAGCTTTACATTATTGGTTGTTTTACTTATTTTTAGTCATTTTTATGTTAAATATATTTAAAGGTCTAAACTTTCTTGTTGATGCTGCCACCAAATTTCATTGCTTTGAAATGTAGTATATTTACTATCATTCATTTTTAACTGATTTAAGTATGTTTAGGTGTTTTAGCTTTTCGTAAATTTTTAGGAAAATAGATTTTTCTGTTCTTTCTTCTCTCTCATTCTCTCTCTCCAACTGATTTTCTTTCTTCCTTATTTTCTTCCTGCTGCCATTGAACTTAAAACACTATCAATTAGAAGAAACACTATATACTACTGAAAAAGAAAAAATCCATGGAATTTTAGTTTTATAATTGAATGCTTTCTTAGCATTCAGAATTTTTGTTTTATGCTTATTGAAAGAGCTATAGAAGTTTTAATTCTGGCACTTAAAAAAATCTTGCCTGAAAATTTGAGTAAATGGTTTCCAGGTAATAATTAGGGCTCATCCTTCACTCTTTCTTCTTCAGATGGTCCTTAAATTGTTTGTTGATGACTCACGCCATTGAGTATACCCTGCAAATTGAGCAAAATAAAGTGTTTGTTCAGACACAGGCAATAACAACTGTCTTTTATTCATTGTCTGGGTAATCTTAATCAATGCTGTTTTTCCAGTATCAATGATGAAAATAACTGTTATGTCTCAGAGTTGATGAAATATAGTATATTCTGATGTTAATTTTATTCAGTTGTGAGAAAGATGTAATATGATATCAGCTTTTTGGAAATTTTTGAGATTTTTCTCGTCTCATACATTGTCAGTTTTTGCGAGTAGGCCATTTGTGTTTAAAAAGCATGTGTAGCATGAATTTATTAGGCATGCTATTTAATTGTGTTGTATCCTTTATGGCTTTACTTTTTTGGCCAATTCCATTTGTTAATTTTTGAAAGGAGTAAGTAAACCCTTCAAGATTTTATGAAATTTTCTGTTTCTTCTTTGATGTTTGTCAAGTTTTGCTTTTAATAATGTGTCCTGTTGTCAGGTATGCAGATGTTGAATACATGTTTCTTGAATTCTGTTAAACATGATTTTACATTGATCTATCTAATTCCTTTTTATTGGTATTTACAATATAAATAACAAAATATCAAAAGTGTAAACTTTTTTAATTTTCAGACTTTCTGGATTTTGGGGTGTTTATCATTTTTAGTTTATAATTGGGGAAGCAGCATGAATTTAATTTTCTTTGTTTTAAAAACAGAGATTTTACATTTTTAATAAGCATTTTAATACATCATGGATATGTGATTATTGATATGATTGGATGTACTTTTGTTTTATCATTTTGTTTCTTGTGTGTGAAACATTGAACAAATTAAATATAATTCTTGCCCTCCCAGATCTTACAGTATAATGAGCAGTATTTTAAAAGTATACTTTATTTTTATATATCATGTTATAAGTAAAAAGTACTTATCATATACTGGCTTCAAAAACAAAGTTCTCACATTCTTTATTTGTCCTTCTCTGAGGATGGTGTTATCCTTATTTAAGGGTGGGGAAGTTAACAATATGAAGTTACAAAATGGCAGTGTGGGGTCCAGATTCATTCCTCATTTCGTTAAATGCGTGAAATAAAACTTTTATGTAGTTACCTAGGAAAAACTCCATTGAAACTATTTTACTCATATTTTAGGTTTGTTTTTAATGTGCTATCCTATATGCAAAACTATTCCCATCTGTATTTAGTTCCTTTTTCTCTGTGTGTGACATTTTGCCTGCACCAGATAGATAATTTCCAAATTAATCATAGTTACTACCCTCATGGAGTTTGACTTTGATTTAGAAACTAAACACCTTGAGTGTTGCCCAAGGTAAAGGCAATTTTGTCTCAGAACATACCTAAGAGCATTTCCTCTGCCCCATTTTCTTTGCCTTTGCCCTTCAATTGGCTAACTTCTTTCATTCTCTACCCATGTCTCATTTAGAAGTAACTTCTTCCAGAGACCTTTCTGAAATCTCTAGACCTCATTAGGTTTACCCTGCTGTGCCCTTGAACATTGTCCAGTACTATTAAAATAATAGCCTACCTTACGGTAATCACTGGCATGTCTGTTTTTTCTCCATTTGCATCTGTTTCGTTTACTCCTGTGCCCTTAGTGACTAGTGTAGTGCCCGGAAAGTACATGATGAATGATGAAGGCTAATTTCTGCTTTGTATCCTCAGCATTATCACCTGGCATGCAATAAAAACTTAATAACAGAATCTGAACTGTTGTTATAAATGACTACAGCAAGATTCTTGAATGTATTATAAAACTTGTACTTTCTCAATAATTCAAGCCTGACATTGGGACACAAATGCTCATGTTCATTGGCTTTTACAGAATGATTAAATGTTTCAGTGTTATAAATCTTATAGTACACTCTAATAAAAGAAGAAAAATGTGAATAGTAACTACATGCTTTTAAAAAATTCTATCTAGTTTATAATATAAACAGTAAAAGCATTAAGAAGAAAATATACACTTGTGGACAAATTGAGCTTGGCATATTTAAAAGAATAACAGCATGAGATGTTGAATATTCTTTTAAACTTATATCTAGATACAGTTCTCTTAATTTTTAATTTTGAAGATGTTCCTGTTAATTTTGAAGCTTATTTGCTCAAATATATTCAGGAGTTCTAGAAACCTAAAAATTAGTTTTTATGAATATGGATATGAAAAATAAGTCCAGTAATTAATTTTACTAGCAGAATATATTTGTAGGATTTTCATCTCATATAAAATAAATATTTATTTGCATTTGCACTTGGAAAATATGGGATAGTTGAAATTATAGTTGCATTGGTTAATTGTGTGTGGTTTTCTAAGTTAAGGTATAAGGATATAGTTGCGGAAGAGGAAATGAGACACTTAACAAATTATGGACATGTATTCTTTTTAACACACAGACATGTTTAACATAAAACAGCCGAGAGGGAAAAATAATGATTCAATTATGGTTAAAATTAGGGGGTGGTGAGGCATGCCACTACATACACTGAAAAATCCACCCACTTGTCTTTTATTTGCTTTATTCAGAAGGTAATGGTGACTTTGAAGTAGGAAAATATTGATTTATCATGTTATAGCCAGAGGGTTATTAATAAATTTTTCCTTTCCTCTTCTAGCATACTGATTTATGTCAGTACATGGACAAGCACCCTGGGGGGCTGCATCCAGATAATGTGAAGGTAGGAAAAGATCTTTTTAACCCATGGGTTAGCATTCTTGATATGTATTTTTTGGACCAAAAAAGTATGTATTCTTGATATGTATTTTTTCCATCTCTACCATAAGATATTTCAATTTTTAAAACTCTGCGTAAAGAGAATGATATTGAGGTGAACCATAGTCATTGCTTCAGTTGAATTATTGGAAACTATGTTTTAACATGAAATATTTTCACTGGGGTATTAATATTTAGATCTTACATTTTTTTCCTAGAGAAACATTTGCTAATAGTGAGTAAAAAACCACTGGAATCCTATTTTTTTTGAGATGGAATCTCCCTTTGTCACTCAGGCTGGAGTGCAGTGGCATGATCTCGGCTCACTGCAACCTCTGTATCCTGGGTTCAAGTGATTCTGCTGCCTCAGTCTCCCAAGTAGCTGGGACTACAGGTGCATGCCACCACATCCAGCTAATTTTTGTATTTTTAATAGAGGCGGGGTTTCACCATGTTAGCCAGAATGGTCTCCATCTCCTAACCTCGTGATCTGCCCGCCTCGGCCTCCCAAAGTACTGGCATTATAGGTGTGAGCCATTGCACCTGGCCTGGAATCCTATTTTTTAATACTTCACAGTAGAGTCAAGTTTCAGTTTTATCTTGGAACCCATACTGATATGTCAGGTGGTTTCAATATAGAGGATCATTATGATCCAAAACAATGTTATGGTGGGTCACAGTGCATGTGTTTTTATTTGTAAGTATAAGCAGATTCTACTTCCTGCTACTTTTGCATCTTTTTTTTACTAGACGTTTTATTACTGAGTATGAAAAGAACTACAATTTCCTATGATTTGACCTCACAATCATCTTAGTAAATTGTTCCAAAATTTCAAGCTTAAAACTTGAAACTCTTTCTTGGTATATGCAATGGAATTAGAAGAGACCAAAGTTATGTCTGATATGGCTTAATTATGTGCTTCCATTGTATAACTCAAATGATATTTCATAATCCTGAGAACCAATTAAGTATTACAGATGTATTCGAAGTAAAATTATTCATCTTCATTTCTTCCCATTTGTTATCTACACCACTCCTTGTACCATGTCATACTTTTTCTTTTGTACTTTTTTCTTTGCTTGTAGAGACATATGTACATATGGCATTTTGTGTGTTTATTTTTTTATTAAGATAATATGTATGGTGGGATGCAGTGGTTCACACCTATAATCTCAGGACTTTGGAAGGCCAAGATATGAGGATTTCTTGAGGCCAGGAGTTTGAGACTGCCCTGGCAACATAGCAGGAACCCCATCTCTACAATTTTTTATTTTTAATTAGCTGGGTGTTATCATATGTGTCTGTAGTCTTAGCTACCTGGGAAGCTGAGGCAGGAGGTTTGCTTGAGCCCAGGAGTTTGAGGTTGCAGTGAACTATGATCATGCCACTGGACTCTAGCCTGAGTGACAGCCTGTCTCTAAAAATGAAAATAAAAAGTAAATGAATAAATAGTGAATACATAATTATATAATTTGTTTTCACTTAAAACACATATTGGATATTATTTAAAATCAGTATGTGACTATGTATCTCTTCCTTAGTAACCGTATATTATTCCATAGTGTGAATAACCTATATTTATTAATATAGTTAACTATATTAATAAATGTATTGTTTATATATGTATATGTTACTATAATAAATATATCAATTATATATCATCTATTACTATTACTATTTTATTAATATGTTAACTATTAGTAACTATATATGAATCAACTATAAATTTTTAACTCTTCCTTATTAACAGATCTTTTGGTTGTTCCCAGAATGTTGCTATAATTATTCTAGAGTCAATATTAGTATAAAACATTTATACTATCATTTCTCTTGGATACTCCATTAATGAATTTTGTTAGTAAGAAATACAATTTATTAATAATACATTTTCTGTAGTAATGAATTTGGCAGGAACATTTACCGAGCAGTTTATAAATGACAAGAGAACTGTTTTCCTCTGTTCTCACTAGCACTGAGTAATCAATCATTTTAACTTTTGCCATTCCAAAGGGTAAAAGTGGAATGTCCTTTACATTGGCATTTACTTGACTGCTAGTGACACTGAGCATTTTTTCACATATTTCATGACCATTTGTAATTTTGCTTGTGTAAGTTGCTTCTTTGTGTATATTTTCTATTTTTCTATTGTCTTTTAATATTTTTCTTAAAAGGTTTTCTAGATATTTGTCACATTAACAATGAGGCTTTTATGGTGATTAGCTACACTATATAATTTTAAAATATAGGCAATTATAGGAACTCTGTCAAAACATTGTTTGTTAAATAAATAATAGAATCAATATAGAAATTATAGTCTGTTGAATTTTCCATATGTCTCCTTTTTTGTGTTTTATTAGTAGATTTCCTTAACCTTTAAGTTTTTTGACTGTTCATTCTTCTTAAAAATCTGTAACCATTGACATAGATAGTTTATTAGATTGACATTTTAACATATGAAAATATTTGTTTTATTAATCTTGTCCATGTTCAATTCCAACTCCAAATATTAGTATTAACATGAACATAATTTTATTCTTTTTGCATTAAAAATCTCAAATTCTCTCATTTATACATTCACATGTTCTCTTCTTAGGGTTTATTGGCTTTGAAATCAGTGGTACAATATATTTTCATTCTTGTTTTGTACTTTATCCCTGAGAATGTGTAGATCACCCAGCTAGTGAGACCATTGGCCTTGGGGAGTTCAGAAATCTGCCAGCCACAGTGGAAATGGGAAGGTCCTCTGAGCTAACTTTGACTTCCTGACTTTCACATTCAGTGATAAGACTGAGATTAAAGAACTGATTGAACCTTTCCAACAACCATGACATTACTGGGCTTTTATCATCTCTGTTTAGTTTTCTCACCAATTTTCTGTGTGTCATTAATTATCAGGAACCGTTGGTAGAAAATTTTGTTGATGAAAGAAAGGAAACCTCTTTCCACAAAACATTGCTGTATTCTCTCTCCTTAGGCCAGTGACACTGATGAATTTTGTCCCATTTTTACTGTATATTCTGCTTCTTCCATCACTTTTATTTTCCCTAATTTCCTAATGGTCATGAAGAGATGGGTCTCTAGGTTACTATTTCTCAGTGACTGGCCGTAGCTCTAGAAATTCTCTCACCAGCTCTCATTCAATCAAACCTTGTGTGCTTTTCTTTGATCATACTTCAAACACTTACTGTTTTGCTCCTCATTTAAGTCCAGGTTGCTCTGTGGCGATAAACAAGGTTTAACACTGCAGGACTCCGTGCCTCCTAGAACTTGGTGAGAAACTTAATGATAAATGAAATGTGTAGTCAGCAGAGAAAAAATGTCACAGGAATTATATGTACCACCTACAATAAGCCTGGGTATTTGTATACAACAGAAATTTTTCCTGCTCTGAAGTTGTTTAACATGGTCACAGATAGATGCCTTAGTACATTTTTGTTTCTAAAAAAAATGTGATGTAATTTACCTCTTCTTATTTTTAAAAATACCTTAAAAACAGCAAAATGTATTAATCTATGGGGATTCCTTTCCACCATAGCTAGTGAAATTTTGACTTCTTGAGGATTTTCTGAAATGTTCTGGACAGTCTCAGTTCTCGGCATATTTGTAGATACAAGAAACCTCAGTAATAAACTAAGAGGTCTTCACTCTTCCACAGTAAGTCACCTGGGAAGCTTTATATGTACACACACACACAGACACACACACACACAGACACACACACACACACACGAGACATATATATATATATATTTTTTCCACTTCCCAGAATCAGAATCAAGTTTAAAAATCTGCATAGCGTAATACTGGGAATTTTAGCCAGTGTAATCAGCCAAGAGAAAAAAACGAAAAATCCAAACTGGACAAAAGGAAGTGGTCAAATCATCTCTCCTTGCAGAGAAAGTAATATGTATAGAAAAATCCAAAGACTCCATCAAAAAAGGTCACAGAACTGATAAAACTAATTCAGTAAAGTTGCAGGATACAAAATCAACTTATAAAAATTAGTAGTGTTTCTTCCCCAATAATGAACTAGCTGGAAAAGAAATGGAACAATTTAATATGTAGGAATCCGTTTAACCAAGGAAGGTGAAAGGCCTATATAAGAAAACTACAAAACAGTAATCAAAGAAATTGAAGATACAGATGGAAAGGCATCCTATGATCATGGATCAGAAAAATTAATATTATTGAAATACCATAATACCAAAAGCAATCTAGAGATTCAATACAATTCCTGTCAAAATACCAATGACATTCTTCATGGCAGTAGTAAACAATCCTAAAATTTGTGTGGAACCACAAAAGAACCCAAATAGCCAAAACAATACTAAGCAAAAAGAACAAAGCTGGAGACATCACACTATATAACTTCAAAGTATACTACAAATCTATAGTAACCAAACAACATATTATGGGTATATAAAAGAGACACATAGATGAAGGGAACAGAAAAATGCTCACAATAGAGAATCCCCAAATTAATCTGCATACCTATAGCTAACTGATATTTGATAAAGATGTCAAGAACATACTTTGGGGGGAATGACACTTTCTTCAATAAATGGTGCTGGAAAAACTGGAAATCCATGTGCAGAAGAATGAAATAAGGTCCTTATTTTTTACCGTATACTGAAATCAACTCTAGATGGATTCAAGGCTTAAACGTAAGACTCAAAACCATTAAACTCATGAAGAAAACATAAGAGAAACACTTCAGGACTTTGGTCTAGAAAAGGATTCTATGGCTAAGACCTCAAAACCGTGGGCAACAAAAATAAAAATAGATAAATGGAACTGTATTAAGCGAATAGGCTTTTGCAAAGCAAAGTCAACGGGAGCAAAGATACAACCTGTTGAATGGGAAAACATATTTGCAAACTCTTTCATCTGTCGAGAGACCAATATTTAGATTATACAAGTAATTCAAAAAACTCAACAGCAAAAGAAACAAACTTGTTAAAAAG